GGTGGACTTCTCCCTTGGACTCTTGTAGCCTCTTTGGGTTGGGGTAAGGAGCCTGAAGCTTAAGGTCATGCAGGGGTATTCTGTATTCACCCTGAGATGCATGCTCCTGCCATTTGGAGTCCCAGGAGGATGACCACGTGGACTGTTCACTGGCCTCTGGCCTCCAGCTGGGAGAGAGGAAAGCCGAGTCCATCTCCACACCCTAGATCTGTCCACGGCCACTCCATGTCCAGTGGCCCCTCCTGCAGCTGCAGCTCCCCCCTGCCAACCTCACCCACTCCTTGTCCCTTAGACTGGGACAGTGGCAACCCTGTGGCCTTCCCTTAGCCTTGGTTGTTCCACCACATTAAACCTTCCAGGACTCCCCTCCAGGAGAGCCCCAGGGGATGAGGAGGTGAAGCTAGTGTTTTCCCTGCGGGGGAGGAGAAACCCTCATGCTGCCCTATGCTGCAGTAACAGCTCTTCCCAAAATCTCTCCAGCCTAGCCCTCTGCCCTCTCCTGCCTCCTCCCGCCCTGCCCCACTACATGCTCAAACCTCCTCTTTGGGACTGTGCCACCTGGACCCTGACAACACAAGGGTGGTGGATCCAGATCCCACAAGGGTCCAGCGTGTGTGTGAAGAGAGCAGAGTTCCCAGAGAAGACAACACCAGTGAGAAGGACCCAGGGGAGGGAGAAGAGCTGTTGGAAGGTGTAGGGAGGGGTGGCCGGCTGGGGGAAACAGTGGGGTCCCACAGAAGCACTAGGAAGCCCCAGCACACAGGACCTGACCACACACCTGTCACAGGCCCTTCCACAAGCTGGGCTGCAGCGCCGACACCGGAGTCCCCCTGGATGCTCACCAGGCCAGGCCACAGGTGGGGGCCATGGGGTCCAGCTGGGGCTGAAGGAGGGTGTGCCCTGCCCCCAATTGGCAAGAGAGCCCCTGGTGAGGATAGGGGCCGAGTTTCTGCCAGAGTGTGAGAGGCTGCTCTGAATACCTTGAACCGGAGCTGGGACAGGCGCTCCCCCTGTCTCCGGAGGTCGCGGGCAGCTCCAGTCCACTCCTAAACCCCAGACCTGAAGGGCTAGTCAGACTACGACTCTCCTCCAGCCCACCTGAGTGGGCGACTCTGCCCTGTCCTTGTCCTCCTCTATATGATCCTGTGCCGGTTTAGGGGTCTCCAGGACCCTCACAGAGCCCGCGCCCTCGGCGGGAACGCGCTCCCGCCCTATTCTGGCGCCCTCGGGCTCCCAGGCTCCCAGGCTCCCAGGCTCCGCGTCCGCAGCCCGGACCTCTGGTCTGCCTTCCCGCCCCCCAGCGTTCTCCCCTCCCGCCGGGGGCGGCGCAGCCTCGGGTTATTAATATCCCGGCGCTGGCGCGGGGCTGGGGCGCATTCCCAGCTGGCGCAGCGCAGCTTTCCTGGCGGGACCGGCGGGCTCGCACCCTTCGTGGCACGCCTGGGCAGCCAAGACCGCGCGGAGCCTCCATGCCCCTTCGCGTCCCCGGGCAGGGCGAGCGCTCGGGAAAGTTCCCGCGGTCCCGCTTCGCTCGGAGTTCGGAGATCGGTGATCGGTGCGTGGCGCCCGCTGCCTGTCTGCGGGTCCCCAGGAACCAGCGGACGCCGAACGGCGACGTGGCTGTCCCCGGGCGTGACCCAGGGTTCGGCGGACAGATCTGACGGCTTAGAGGCCGAGGGACAGGTGGGTCCGGAGCGAGTGCTGCCGTATGCGGGCACCAGTGCGCGGTGCTGGGTACGGGGTGCCGGGGGCGCCAACCCCCGCGATTCCCGGCCGCGGAAACCTCGGTGCGTTCCCCGGGCGGGCTGGGCTGGGCGACCCCGCGGATTCTGGGCCCTACTGGAGGCCGAGAGGGCTCCAGGCTACAGAGTCCAGGTCTCCAGCCGCATGCGACGGCGCGAGGACGCGGAAGCAGGGGCGCTTGTGGCGCGCGCCGCCTGCCTGGACTGGGCTCCGCAGTTGGAATCCCTTTGGCTCAGGCGCGGGGTGCAGCGTGGTGGCCGCTCCCCCGGGGCTTGTCTCCTTGGCTTCTAGGCAGTGATCTGGGAAAAGGCGGGCTGCCCCCAGTGGGCTCCAGGAACGTGGGCAGAGACGGGGTTCCGGGCGTTGGGCAGGTGGGGCCCGGGCCACCCGCATGGGAAAGAACGCACCAGCTCCGCTTGCCAGGCCAGAGACTGGGCCAGCGCCGGAGTCTCACACCAGTGGGCCTGCCCGGGTACCCTTCTGCAGCAGATGCCCAGAAATAACCGTGTTATCGTCACCGTGGACGTGCAGGGGAAAGACTGAGCCCAGAGCTGCTATCTTGAGTGGACTAGGGGAGGAGGACCTGTTTATGGCACTTGGTTTGTTCCAGCCCCTTGTTAGGAATAAAGCTATTGTGAACATTCTTGCTCTTGTCTTTGAGGGGCTGTGTGCAGTTGTTTATCTTGGGTACAAAGGGAACGGTGCCAAATTATTTTCCAAAGAGGAAGCCCCTTCTGCATCCCCAGCAGTGGTGAATGGGAATTAGTTCCTCCACCTCCTCGCGGCTCATCACCAAGCGTGTCCACCTCTGACTCCGCCCACTTGGGTGGCCTGAAGTGGTGTCTCGCTGTGGTCTTGATTTATACTTCTTGCTTGTTGGCCATATGTATATCCTTTTTTGAAAAGTTCCTGCTTAAGTTCTTTGTCTTTTTTTTCTTCAGTTGGCTTGTCTTTTCCTTATTTATTTGCACTTCTGTTTTGTATTTTGGTTACTAATTTTCTTTGATATATTTTCTAATGGTCTTCTCCTAGCCCATGGTTTATAATTTTACTTTTAGTAAAGCTCTTAATTTTGATGAAGTTCATTTGATTCGCCTTTTGTTGTATTTCTTGTTCATTTCTAAGAAATATTTTCCTACTCAAGGTCATGGTGATATCCTCCTGTTTTCTTCCAGAAGCTTGATCTTTTGATCAATTTAATTCTGTACATGTGGGTTTGCCAACAGTCTGAAATTCATTTTGTGTGTGGTGTGAGGTAGGGACAAAGGTTCGTTTTCCCAGTATGATAAATGGAGGTTACAAAGGCCTTCTCATCTTTACCTCACATATTTTTCTGTTTGGATTTTTTAATTTTTTTTCTTTTAACAATTTTTAAGTTAAATCATAACCGTGTACACTAATTCATTTATGGGGTACAGTGTGCTGATTTTATATACAATTTGGAATGCTTACATCAAACTGGCTAACATAGCTTTCACCTCACTTACTTAATTATTCTGTTAAGACATTTATACTTGGCTTGGCGCCAGTGGCTCAAGTGGCCAAAGTGCCAGCCACATACACCTAAGGTGGTGGGTTCAAATCTAACTGGGGCCCACCAAACAACAATGACGGCTGCAACCAAAAAATAGCTGGACTTTGTGGTGGGCGCCTGTGGTCCCAACTACTTGGGAGGCTGAGGCAGGGGACTTGCTTGAGCCCAGGAGTTGAAGGTTGCTGTGAGCTGTGATGCCACAGCACTCTACCCAGGGGGACAGCTTGAGGCTCTGTCTCCCCCCCCCAAAAAAAAGACATCTATACTCGACTCTTAATAGATTTGACATGTACCCTTGCAATATGTACCACTGTTTGGACTTTTAAAGTCAGCAGCTATTGACTGGGTGTGGTGGCTCAATCCTGTAATCCCAGCATTCTGGCAGGCTGAGGCCGGAGGATCCCTTCAATTCAGGAGTTTAAGACCAGCCTGAGCCAAGAGCAAGACCCTGTCTTTATTCAAAACAGAAAAACTAGCCAGGCATTGTGGTGGGTGCCTGTAGTCCCAGCTACTAGGGAGGCTGAGGTAGGAGGATTGCTTGAGCCAGGAGTTTGAAGTTGCTGTGAAATGGGATGATACCACTGTACTCTAGCCTAGGCAATGAAGTGAGACCCTGTCAAAAACAACAACAACAGCAAAACCTAGCAGCTATTACTTTTGTAATTTGAAGAAAACATTTTTTTTTTTTTTGAGACAGAGCCTCAAGCTGTCCCCCTGGGTAGAGTGCCATGGCATTACAGCTCACAGAAACCTCCAACTCCTGGGCTCAAGCGAGTCTCCTGCCTCCGCCTCCCAAGTAGCTGGGACCACAGGCGCCCGCCACAACGCCTGGCTATTTTTTGGTTGCAGCCGTCATTGTTGTTTGGCGGGTGCGGGCTGGGGATTTGAACCCGCCACCTTAGGTGTACGTGGCTGGTGCCTTAGCCGGTTGAGCTATAGGCGCTGAGCCAAGAAAACATATTTTTAAAAGCACAGTGAAATATAATAAAATGAGAGAAAGAATTCCAGGGTAAGTGGCCCCTGTAGGTTCACAGATAAGAAAGTGAGCCTGGGAGGTACACTGGATGGCTGGGCCAAGTCCAGGGCTTTGGGCTTTGAGGACTCAGAGGTCTTTGGACTTGCACTGAGGCTTGAAGTGAGTATCCCGGGGACCATGTGCTGGGGACAGCTGGTCCAGGTGGCTCTTGGGTCCTCTTAGATGCTGGTGTCTTCTTGAGAATTCCCAAGGACAAAGGAGTGGAGAACCCCAGGTCTGTACAGCCTGGCAGGCACAGCCCTGTAGGAAGTGTGCCCGTCACAGTGACCTCATGGAGGTGGAAGGGGAGCCTGACTTGCATATTTATTTATTTAGAGACAGAGTCTCACTCTATCCTGTCCTGGGTAGAGGTATAGAGCTATGGTGTCATAGCTCACAGAAACCTCAAACTCTTGGGCTCAAGAGATCCTCCTGCCTCAGCCTCCAGCCACAACACCTGGCTACTTTTTCTATTTTTAGTAGAGACAGGGTTCTGTCTCATTCTGGCTCAGGCTGGTCTTGAACTTCTGAGCTCAAGCAATTCACCCGCCTCGGCCTCCCAGAGTGCTGGGATTATAGATGTGAGTCAGCTGGCCTGGCTGTGACTTGCATATTTAATGAACCTCTTTTCCCATAGGACAAGCTGGTTGCCTACAGATGCCCCTCCCTGTCTCACAGAGCAGCCTGAGCCCAGTGTGAGGAGCAGAGATGGCCCTGAGCCCCGAGTGTGCAAGTGAGATCCCTGTGCTGGCTGTCACAGACAGTTCTGTGTCTGAACCACTTGATGGCCCCAACGTGTCCTTCAATGGCTCGTGGGCCATCCCTACAGAACCCAGCTCTCTGGAGGACCTGGTGGCCACGGGTGCTATCGGGGCGCTGCTGTCAGCCATGGGCATGGTGGGTGTGGTGGGCAATGCCTACACGCTCGTGTTCATGTGCCGCTGGCTGCGTGGCTCTGCCTCCATGTACATCTACGTGGTCAACCTGGCACTGGCCGATCTGCTCTATCTGCTCAGCATTCCCTTCATTGTGGCCACGTACATCACCAAGAAGTGGCACTTTGGAGATGTGGGCTGCCGGGTCCTCTTCAGCTTGGATTTCCTAACCATGCATGCCAGCATCTTCACGCTGACCGTCATGAGCAGCGAGCGCTACGCAGCAGTACTGAGGCCGCTGGACACGGTGCAACGCTCCAAGGGCTACCGCAAGCTCCTGGTGCTGGGCACCTGGCTGCTGGCACTGCTGCTGACACTGCCTATGATGCTGGCCGTCCGGCTGGTCCACCGGGGCCCCAAGAGCCTCTGCCTGCCGGCCTGGGGCCAGCATGCCCACCGCGCATACCTGACGCTGCTCTTTGGGACCAGCATCGTGGGGCCCGGCCTGGCCATTGGGCTGCTCTATGTGCGCCTGGCCCGGGCCTACTGGCGGTCGCAGCAGGCCTGCTTCAAGCAGACACGGCGGCTGCCCAACCCACGGGTGCTCTACCTTATCCTCAGCATTGTGCTGCTCTTCTGGGCCTGCTTCCTGCCCTTCTGGCTATGGCAGCTGCTGGCCCAGTACCGTGAGGCCCTGCCACTCACGCCCCGGATGGCACGCATTGTCAACTACCTGACCACCTGCCTCACCTATGGCAACAGCTGCGTCAACCCCTTCCTCTACACACTGCTCACCAAAAACTACCGTGAGCACCTACGCGGCCACCTGCGATCGGTGGGCAGCAGTAGCCCTGGACCTGCAGGCGTCCACAGCTCCCGGCAGTGCCCAGTCCGCTTCCAATGTGGCTTAGGTCACTCCCTGTCCTCCTGTAGCCAGCAGGCCACTGAGACCATCACGCTGTCCCTGGTGGTCTCTGGGGGGCCTGCATCAGAGGGCCCCAGGGCCCCAGTGTGAGCATGGCACAGCAGCTGGAGCTCAGACAGGGAAGGGGCCTGTGCCCAGGCTCCCCCTGTGGCCCCTGTAGAGAGTCCCCCATTCCCCACTGCCAGGCCCTACCCTTCAGTCCTCTTCTGGAAAGTTCCCTACTCTACCTTCCCAATATTGCCCGTTTGTGCGCGCCTCCAGGAGACTGAGGCCTGACCCAGCCTCTGAAGGCTGCAGTGGGTCAGACTCCCTGAGTGGTGAGTGGCCTGCTGGTCCCTCCAGCCCTGGGCCCTCTGGGCGGCTCCACTGCTCACATCTCCAGCCCTGAGCCCTCTGGGCGGCTCCACTGCTCGCACCTCCAGCCCTGGGTCCTCCCCACAGCCCTGTTGCTCACATCTCCAGTGCAAGAACAGTAAAATCTAAGCTCCCTGAGTCCTGCCTCAGCACCTGGGATGCAGGTCTGAGGGTGGAAGGGGGTTGGAGCCCAGTGAGACCCTCCCCTGAAAAACCCCACAGTGTATGGGGAGGCTATCAGTCTGGCTGGGGAGGGCGTGCATCTGCCTTTAGGGCCTTTGCTGGAGACTGGTCCTGCTGTCCCCACACACGGGAGTCCCCCTCCTCATTTGGGGGAGGTACCCCTGAGGCTGCAGGGTGGGAAGTGGGTGGGAGGAACTGCCCAGCAAAGAGCAGAAAGCAAAGCTCAAGGCTGCTCACCCGACCTGCCAGGGCCCCACCAGCCACAACCCACATGGAGCTAAGGTCTGGTCAGCAATGAAATCCAGGTCCCACATCGCAGCACCCTTGGGTAGTCTCTGCCCTACCTACCCCAGCTGCCTTGGGCAGACTGCTGTCCCTTCCTCCAGTTTGTCCTCCGCCTCCCACCTGCTTCTCAGCACCTCGCGGCCAGGCCTGGGGATACTCGTGGCTGCCCCTACCTGTTGCCTGGTGGTGCCCACCTCCTGCAGCCCCAAAGGGGCTCCCATTATTAGGGGCTGTGACCCAAGAGCTAGAGCTGGCACCTGCAGTGAGGGCAGGGCTGTCTCACTGAGCACCTATTCTGGGGCTTTTGATTTGTGCAGGTTTCTCTGGGGTGATGACTCTGCTCTGGACCTAGACGGCGCTGGCTGGTGGCATCACGAGTGGGTGCCACAGAACCTTGCAGTGGCAAGTTTTGTCATGAAAGTTTACCTGAAAAAACGAAAAGAAACTGCAATTTGAGGCCAGGCGCAGTAGCTCCATACCTGTAATCCCAGCAGTGGGAGGCTGAGACAGGTGGATTGCCTGAACTCACAGGTTTGAGACCAGCCTAAGCAAGGGTAAGACCCCATCTCTAATAATAGCCAGGCATTGTTGTGGGCGCCTGTAGTCCCAGCTACTCGGAAGGTTGAGGCAAGAGAATTGCTTGAGCCTGGGAATCTGAGGTTGCTGTAAGCTGTGATGCCATGGCACTCTACCAAGGGCAACAAAGTGAGACTCTGTGTCCAAAAAAGAAAGAAAGAAAGAAAAAGAAACTGCAATTTACTGTTGAATTCAATTGTAGAATGGGGTATGGGGTAGGTACGCCCCCACCCTGGGCTTGGGAACCTCTTCCTGAGGCTCTCCACCCATAGCCTCTGTGATACTTGAGAGGACCTTTGGGGCTTAGAAATCCTTCTTGCGTGAAGCCTGATTCCTGAAGCTGTTGTCTTTGTAGAGAAGCCAGGGCTGGTCTCTTGCTTACTGGTTCCAGCTAGATCTGTATTTGCCTGATGCTCAGATGCTCAGGTCGCAGCCCTGGGGCTGTAGGACTGGGGAGAGACTACTCCTCAGTCCCTCCACATGCTGCCCGCTGGCGCCAAGACAGCTTTTGTGCTAATCACCTGCCTGCACATGCCGTGTGGGTTGAGTATGGTGCCTGGTAGTGGTCCAATCCCAGCCACCACTCACTGCCCCGGCCCCACTTCTCTGGGAGGCCCCCACTTCTCCTGGGTCAGCATAGGCGCAGCTGCTGTTCACCCTGGGAAGATGTGCTGAGTCTCTACAACAAAGTAAATCTCAGATGGGATTTTATATGTAAATGGGAGCTATAAAATCATAGAAGTATGAAGAGAAAATACCAGTAAATATATTTCTAAAATAACAAATGGGAAGGCTGTTGAGGTGTGGCCTAGAACCTAGGACCCTTCAGAAAGAGAGTGAGCAATCTGTTTTACATAAGACATGTAGAATTCCAAAGAAAAGACACAGCCAAAGTGGGAATGGCACACCAAGGAGCAAAGTCGGTGCCACTTACCAACAGCCACATAAATGTTATTCTAGCTCCAGCAATTCCACTGCTAGGATTTTATCTGAACTTAAATATCAGATGTGGATGAAGACTTATGCATGTAAGTGCTCATTTCAGCATTACTTTAAGAACCAAAGAAACCATGGAATTTTCCACAGTTGTTAAAGAGATTATGACATGGTCGTGAGAGGCAGATCATGTTTCAGAGACTAGCAATGACATCATTCTGAAGGTTCACTGAGGGGATAAATCTAAGGCATAATGGTAAATGGAGAAAAAATGGGATGTAAAATTACAAAACATAATCCTGTTTTATTCAGAGAAACAAGAGAGTGTGTGTGAGAGAGAATATGAAGTGTGTGCCTGACTGTGTGTGAGAGTGGGTGGTGTGTGCCTGAGTGTGTGTGTGTGAGAGCATGTGGTGTGCACTTGTGTGTGTGTGTGTGTGATTGTGTGGTATGTGCCTGAGTGTGTGTGCAGTGGCTATTGTGGGCATGTGTAGATGCCTGCACATGTATACACATATGCATAAAAGCTTACTAGATGGGAAAATTTTAGGTAGGTTTTTTTTACTTTATACTTTTGAGTCTTCTCCAAATTTCTCCCAAAGAGTTAATTACAATAAAATCAGAAGAGCAAACTTTAAAATCAGAATTGTTAATTATAATAATTAACAATTATCCTCTCTAGGTCCCCCAGGCCCTCCTACTGTAGGAGAAGAGGGGTGCCTGAGGGGTACACAATGCTGGCAGCAGGTATCATCTAAACTGGAGCCCAGGTTGGCACCACCTGTGCTGCCTCTGGAGGGGAGGGAGGACCTTGTCCTGGGCAGCTTTTAGGGACAGCAGTAGGCCCTGACTGGGGAACAGCTGGTATACCAGGCACCTCACAGTCCTGTGCAGTGGGCTGGTTTGTCTCTAGTGGCCCCAGCTTGGCCGGGTTGCTGCAGGGCAGCAGGCATAGATGCCACATTTCCCAGGCTGACCACAAGGCACAATGGGGCTGTTTCAGATGCTGCTGGCTTGAAGACAGTGGCCTGGCTTAGTCTAGGGCCCGCAGAGCCAGGCTGGGCCACCCTGGACCCTACCTTTCTATCTTCACAGCATGAGTGTGGAGGATGCAGTCCCTTTTATTATTTTTGAGACAGTCATTTCGTTGCCCCAGGCTAGAATGCTATGGCATCACAGCTCATAGCAACCTCAAACTCCTGGTCTCAAGTGATCTTCCTGCCTCAGCCTCCCAGGTAGCTGGGACTACAGATACCCACCACAATGTCTGGCTAGTTTTTCTATTCTTAGGACATATGGGGTCTCACTCTTGTTCAGGCTGGTCTTGAATTCCTGGGCTCAGGCAATCCACCTGCCTTGGCTACCCAGAGTGCTGGGATTACAGATGTGAGGCACTGCGCCCAGCTAAGGTTGTTCTTGTGGGTCCATGGGGAAGGGTGGGAGGGGCCCGCTCACTGCTCCCACGCTACAGCAGCACACCAACACCGTGGACATTTGAGCCGCAGGGCACTGGGCTGTGCATCTTGCGACTTACTGATCAACAGAGTTCAAAGTGTCCTGTACACTCACTCTTTCCAGGAATAACATTCTTTGGGAAGTGAGTCACACCTACAACAGTAGACACCACTGTTTACCTGCTTTCTGCTTTTGGAGACTAACCCACCAAAGGCAGTTTGAGGAGATACTGCCTGGGCTGGGCAGGGGACAGTGACAGTGTTTGTTTGTGGTGAGAGGTGGCCTGGCTAGGGTGGGAGGCCTGGAGCTGGTTTGCAAAGGCCTGAGCCATTCCTGCCTGAACCTGCACAGCCTAGCGGGTTCCTGCCTGGCCACTTGGAGGGCCAGCCCAGGGGACAGTGCCAGGGAGGGACACTCAGGCTTCTTTCTCCCCGGGGAATCTTGTCCCAAGCTGCCTGGGCCCCTCCCTCACCACATGCAATGGCAGGTTTTTCCATCTGGATTCCAGACAGATGACGGCCAAAGTGGGAAGTGAGGCTGCCAATGGCCAATGGCAGCTCCAGACTGGGGCCTTGTCCAGGCCCTGAGCAGGCTGCTCTAGGCAGCCCACAGGCTAGTGGTGACCCAAGGCTTAACAGCTCTGTTCTGTCACTTTTCCCCATCTGAAGCCTGGGAGGGACTGGGGGTGGTAAGGTGTGGAGTGAGATGCATCCTTAGTGGTCAGCAGCCTAAAGACGCTAGTCCAGCGTCTCAGATCCCTTGCTATCCTCCCTCTGCCTGAGGCCCACCTGCAGACCCCACTGCTGGCTCCACTTGAGACACCTCCATCATCTTGGGCCAGTACAGGGTCACCTCGGGCCAGCACAGTGGTCAACTCCTGGGCCATCTCCCCATCTCCAGCCTGGGTCCATAGTGATCATGCAGCTAACTAAGTTCTCTCATTCCTATGCCATAGGTGGGCTTGGGGCTGCCCCAGCCACCTGGACCTGCAGGTGGGAATCACGGGAGAGGGCAAGCCATGCAAGTGCCAGGGACTAGAGGGTCCTTGGGCTGTGCTGCATGTGTCCAGGTGGGCTGGGAATAGCAGCCCCTCTGCCAGGCACCCCACAGTGGGATGAAAACCGCAGAGCCAGTCTCATCCAGAACCATGTGTTGGCAGGAAGCACAGAGGCACAGTGGTTGCCCAGGGCATCACTGCTCTGCTCTGGCAGTCAGAGCTGGCCACCCAAGCCAAGAATCCTCCCATGAGGCTGGAGTTCAGATTGGGGCTGAGCTGAGGGAAGAGGAGAGAGTGGCACTTGTTTCTGCCCTTGTTCCCGCTTCTACCCTTCCCAACTCTGCTCAGGCCACTAGAAACAGAAAGGGAACGGGGTGGTGGGGGGTCAGGGAGGGAGAGAAGGGGATAGAGGAGAATAGAGGTGAGATGGAAGGACAGAGGCTGGAGGGGTGTAGAGGGTCGTGGATGGGGATGGAGGTGAGATGGAAGGACAGAGAAGAGGACAGAGGCTGGATGGGGGGCACGGGGCACGGAGGAGGCAGAGGCGAGATGGAGGGACAGAGTAGAGGACAGAGGCTGGGCAGAGGGGGACAGAAGGGGACAGAGGTGGGCCATGGCAACCACCAGCCCAGTTCCAGCCAGCTTCAGTAATGGCTCTTCCCTGGCAGGGCCAAGGACGGAAGTACTCCTGTCACCTTCTTTCTTTTGAAAACCACTCTTTTGTGGGCCGGGTGCAGTGGCTCATGCCTATAATCCCAGCGCTCTGGGAGGCTGAGGCAGGTGGATTGCTTGAGCTCAGGAGTTTGAGACCAGCCTGAGCAAGAGTAAGACCCCTTGTCTACTAAAAATGAAAAAACTGAGGCAAGAGGATCACTTGGGCCCAAGAGTTTGAGGTTACTGTGAGCTATGACGCCACAGTACTCTACTGAGGGCAATTAAAAACAAAACAAAACAAAACAAAAAAGAGTGTTTTGTGGAAGAGGATACCTCTCTTCCTCTCCCCACCCGTGCACCACCAGGGTACACAAAGCCGGCACTGGCTGGTACTGCCATGGAAGTGGAGCCTGCCCAGACCCTCCTCAATCAGTCTTCTTGCTGTTGCCTCTGCTTTTTTACTTTCTTACCTTTTCTTATAAGCTGAGAAAATATATTAAACTTTTTCTTTTTTTTTTTTTTTTTTTTTGAGACAGTCTCACTATGTTGCCCTCAGTAGAATGCCATGGCGTCACAGCTCACAGCAACCTCAATCTCTTGGGCTTAAGCGATTATGTTTATTCAGCCTCCCAAGTAGCTGGGACTATAGGCACTCACCACAACGCCCAGCTATTTTCTGGTTCTAGTTGGCCCAGGCTGGATTCGAACCCCTTAGCTCCAGTATATGTGGCTGGCGCTCTAGCCACTGAGCTACAGGCACCAAGCCTGTATTAAACTTCTAACACAAGGAAAGAAAGGCAGCCCCAGGTACTCTGTGCCCCTCTGACCCAGAACTCTGCAGGCTCGAGTTGGGGCTTTGGCTATCTCAATGCATGGCCATGCCCACAGCCCTGGTTCTGGTGGATCTCAGGGGCCTGTCCACTCAGGGGATGGCTGGGCTGCGGCCAGGCCGGGAGAATGGGAGCTTGTGAACCTCACCAGACAATCCTTTTTCCCGGCAGCAGGAAGTGCCTGGGCTGGCTGGGGGTACAGACACAATATCTGTCATAATCTTTGATTTTAAACATAATAATTGGCTTTGATTTAAACAAATCACTTTTATTTTAAAAATAAATTTCAAAATTAAATCATTCATCAAAGAACACTCCTGACTCCAGTTTCTTCCCAGGACAAATTGTCACCCAGACTTTATTGGCACCTTCCAGCAGAGCTAATGACCCAGGTGGCTCCTGGAACAATTTCCCACCTGCCCACACCAGGTGGGCCAGTCCCCTGGGTGCAGCCTGGGTGTGAGGGCTCACTTTCATGGCCTCATATGCATTTCCCACTTCAGGAGAAGAACATTCTTGCTTTTGCCAAATGTGTTTCTGTCTTTGTCCAGGCCCCTCTGTGATTATCAAGAATAGGATGAGCAGTAAAGAATGAAAACCAAATAACTAACTTGCTTCTTTCAAAAGCATTTTGACCCATAGCCAACCTTACGCCTGCTTTCCTAAATGCATTTGTCCCTTAGATGCAGCGAGGTACCCATGAAGTGACACAGGCATTTAGGGGACTCCAGGCACAGAACAAAATCCTAATCCATGCAGTTTCTGCCTATTGCCACCATGACCACAGGACCCTTTGGAAGCCCACGTGGGAAGCACAGCTCCCTGGCATAGGACAGAGGACCCTGCCTACGCCAGCAGGCATCCACAAAGCAGTGGCCCTGAGAGGAGCCTCATCCCTCCCACCAAAGTCTCCTTCTTTAGAAATGTGACCCTTACTCCAGTGTCCCAACCAGGAGGATGTAGGAGGACACAGTCCCTCAATGCTCCTGCCCCACTTCCCAGAGCCCACAGCCTTGACTGAGGAGGAGCCTGCCAGAAACAGGAGCACCTTCCACACTGGCCCTGTGTGGGGAACACGGCCCAGAGGCCCCCATGGCCCTGAGAGGATACCTCCAGGAGGGCCCTCGTCGAGCCTCAGCCGTCCTCATGTCTGGTCATTCCCAGAGGTCAGATTCTCCCTTACAGCAGTGCTGTGGCCACAGGGAAACTAGTCCCTAGCCCTGAACACTGGTCCAGGGAGCTGCAGAGTCTGGCCATGAAGACTAGACCCCAGCCCTGAACGCTGGTCCAGGGAGCTGCAGAGTCTGGCCAGGAAGACTAGACCCCAGCCCTGAACGCCTGTACAGGGAGCTACAGAGTCTGGCCAGGAAGACTAGACCCCAGCCCTGAACGCTGGTCTAAGGAGCTGCAGAGTCTGGCTCTGACTTTTCCAGGGATGATGCCCAACCCCAGGATAGTCACTTACGGGGTGGCTGTGAGACCATACCAGATCCTGGTGGAATCCGGACTGATGGATGTGTCCCCTCCTCTCTAGCACCCCCTAGACAGAGCAGTGGCTGGGTAGGAGGCCTGTGGGAGCTGAGGACAGTGACTCTGAGGGCCTCCTTTGTGGGACACCTTGGATTCTGGTCATCAAGGGCTCTGGCTGTGCCCATCCTGCCCAGGAAGTGCTCGGACTGGCTGGGGGTGCAGACTCAGAGCTGTGGGGACAGCAGATGTTTGTCCCCACCTGGAACCCAGCAAAGCCACCCCCACCCCAAAGCCACCCATTGACTGAAACTGGCTCCAGAGCAATCTTGGTTTGCTGACTCTGAACTCCAGAGCAGAAGCTACTGCCCATGCCTGTGCTGTCTCTGCCCAGAGTCTGCAGATGCTTCATTTGGTCTTCGCAGGCCAGGGTGGTTTCCAGGTTCAGATAAGGCCCAGGCAAACCAGTCCTCTGTCAACAGATAGAAATCTCTGCTTAGCTCCTTCCTTTCCTGACAGGCAGGGCTCCCACGACAAAAGCACAGCAAAGCAAACATGTGGCAGGTGAGTGGCAGTTCCCCTAATTTACTCACACATGAAAAGATTAAAACATTAGCAAATCAAAATCTGGATTATCCATAAGGCACTCTGTGCAGTGGAGACGAGTGAGACGGGAGGGATGGGGTATGGATTCATTATAAACACAAGGGCTCCAGGAACAGGGTCTTCTGCCAACCTGGCTAGCTACGGGAATGCTGGGTCCGCGATACCATGGTCAGGGTTACAGCTGAAGGCGATGGTGATGGCGTAGCGGGTGCCCCAGCGGACCTTCTCGACCCGGTGCAGGTTCTCAGACCCCGAGGTGAAAAAGGAGACCCGACCTGGGAGAGAAGGTGAGAGGAAGTGAAGGTAGAGCCACACCATGGGCCACACCCACATGGGGCCTTCAGAAGTCTCCACAGGCTAACAGCATCACAACCAACCAACACAGCAGACCTGGCCAGTCAGAGAAGCCGCCCCCTGTGGGGACTGCTGGGAGGAGGCAGGACACAGACCCAGAAGAATGGGACACCAGCCGGAGGGGGAGAAGGAGCCATAGGCCTGGGATGAAGCTTTACGGCTGTGGTGCCCCACGAGCCACTTGCTCCCTGGGGGTTCTAGACCAACCTCCTCCTCCAGGTCTGGGATTTTAGGGTCTTGTTTCTAATCACATTCTGAGAACAACAACCAGACCCAGGGGGACCCTGACAAGGATCAGCAACAGCAAGTCCAGACAAAACATCCATGTGGCCAGCACCTGGCTGGCTCCCTTCAGGTGGGACAGCAGAGGAAGACCCATCCAGCAGCCCTCATGTCCAAGGCTGAGACGTCTGAGAGTGGAGTCCTTCCACCTGTCTGTGTCTGGAGAAGCTGTGTTTATCTGCTTTACTGCTGGACCAGCCCTACCTGCACCACCATAGCCCTTTTATGGTGAGTGTCCCTGTGAAACACCCCAACCTGAGTGAGGAATGCAAAGGGCCCTGCCAAGCTGCCTGGCACCAGACGTCCAGGACAGTTTCATTTCCCTCCCAAGTTAACTGCTGGAGACTAGATTTCCTCTTTCCACATCTGTAACTTGATTATAAATCTTCCTAAAACTCCTTCCCAGTGGCACACAGCCTTCTAGTTGTTTGCAGAGGAGTGCTCTGCCTAGAGACTTAACAGCATGAAAAGTTGTGTGAGTGGCTTAGCGCCTGTGGCTCAAGCGGCTAAGGCGCCAGCCACATACACCTAAGGTGGTGGGTTCGAATCCCCAGCCTGGGCCGCCAAAC